ACCCCGCACAACATGATCTACTCGACCACCATTGGTTACCGCCACAAAAAAACTGAGGTAAAAATAAATGGTAACTTGGTTGCCGAGTGCACGAAGTGGGNTCTAGAAAAACGAGCACCCCCGGGGGTACGACAGCGTTTTGACAGCTTTTTGGCGAAATGAGGGGGGGGGGAGTACGACATTGTGCTCACATTATGGGGGGGGTAAGCACCGTCGATTGCACTATTCTCAAGGTACCGCCGATTGATACCTTGTCCAATCTTATGTCCCTCCGCGAAATACGTTTCCACCAATGTCATATGCATACGTCGCACATGTACCCGGCACAGGCAAACCGGGGGGGACCCTGTAGCGAGTACGAGAAGAAGAACCGAAAGTGTCTTCACACGTTGGTGGTCGCCCTTGCCCTTTGGCACGAGGAGGGTATGCGAGATGAAGGGTTGGGTGTCGGGCAGGTAGACGTGGATGGAGATAGAACTCCAGACGGAACGCCGCGCACGGCGCAAAAAATGCTCGACAAGGATGCACCGGCGTATCGCAAGGGCTTGGCAAACTGCCTGAACACCATGTCGGTCTACAAGTTCCCGGAGAACCTCCCTTTCGGCCTGGGACGTCGTGGTGCCACCACGAACGCAAACGCCAGCATCACTTACACTACATCTCAGAAGACGTGTTCAGGGTGTGGTCGTGACTTCCCTACGGAGAATCAGCATACCGTGGTTGCAACTCGGTTGACAGAGGTGAGTGCAGCATCTCTGTGGGAACTTGTGGCAGTACCCTGCTCAGCATGCGGCTCGCCTTGTGGGTATGAGCGAAGTCGACAGCATGTGTGCCGGAGGCAAACATTTTAGATGCCCCCACCCTCATCCACTCCTGGGCAGGCTACATAGTTGTTGCACTGCATTGTTGTATCTATTGTTGTGGCAGTACTTGTGGCAGCATTCATGCTGTTGGCGCCGGCCGTCGAGTACCATGTTTGATGGCAGCGGAAATCAGAGAAAATAGGGTGGGCACCCCCACGTCTTGTTTGTGGGTGTCGACAAGCCGTGCACACCCTCCCGCATGCTCATAAAAGAGGGGTGAATCGGTGGCAATCGCCCGACCTTCCCCAAAATCCTGGAGTCGCCATCCTGAACGAAACCGCTAGTGATCATGCGAGATTTACCCGCCGAGTACGATATATCGGTCTGCTGACAATATGCTATGTGTGTCTTGTTGCAGGGGCCAGGCATGTCGAAAGTGAACGTGCACACAAACGAGTGTGAGACGTGCGGTATCCACGGATTGGCCAGTGACAACTGGCGGGAGACTGGTTTGTTCAACTACAACAACAGCTATCTGGTGGAGCTGTCTGTCCTGTACAGATGCCTGGAGGCGTTCACCAGGGGTACGACTATAGGCGCCTTCTTCGAGACGTTTTTAGAACCTTTGGGGAGTGACCTGGTGTGGATCAAGGCGAACCCTGATCTCAGCAAAAGGTAAATGTAATGTTCCACCTTGCTATATAAATGTGTCTGTCAAGGCCCACCTATCATAGTCATCCTTCTCACCAATCGCTGTTTAGCTGGCGGTGTAGCAAGCTACTGAGGCGTGTCTCGCAGCGAAAAATATGGCATGGTCGCATTGGATACCGAAACTACCAGGGGCTCCTCCTTCCGCAAAAACTCAGATAGTAATCGATCCTGTTTTCCACTTCGGTCTCCTTGTAAGCTGGCGATCTGAAGATCTTTCTCTTTCCCGAATTCTAGGCACCACCCGTCGCACCATTTCCTCCGCGGGGATGCTAATTGTTACTTGAAGTAGAAAAAAAATCCGTAGTG